TATTGCAATAAACAAATCTGGATTTATCAAAACAAGATTGGATCTCTGTTGAACCAAGATTGTGTATTGCAATAAACAAATCTGGATTTATCAAAACAAGATCGGATTTTTGATGCAATAAAATAAACATCTGGATTTTGTATACAAAATTTATTAACTCAAGTTGACTTTTACTTGTGACATAACTTTTACAGCTTATTTCTGTCAACCTTTCTGATAAGTACATAATTGTGGAATTTTCACTTCAACCAACCACTATAAAATACTGTCAAAGTTTTTGTTTTTTGTAACAAAAAGTGCTCATATTATTTTTAACATACCACTATATAACTTTTGGCAAACCTTTTAACATCATCTCTTATAACTAAATGTTTGGCAGATTTCAATCTGATCAACCTTAATAAACAWGCTTGATATATTATTATAGTATTTGTTAGAACTCTTACAGCTTTTTGCAAACCTTTACATCATCTCTACTAAGTACACTTTTTGATTTCACTTCAACTAAACCTTCATCAAGTAAATATTGTGAAATAGCCTTAATAAAAGTGCTTTTGTCTTTTCCCCTTAATGGTTTCATTAGTTTGAATTCCTTTGCAAGTGGTTTTAAATGTTTCTCCATCTTTACCTCTTGCATACTAGTTGCATTGGAATAGACCATCATGACTGTTTCACAATCATCCAAGGTAAGTTCTGCAAGGTCAACATAATACTGATTATAAAAATAAGTCAAAACATAACAACTTCATACGAATCTACACAAGTAACCATTATGTAGACCAACAATGTATGTGAACAGCAAGCATCTCATTTGACATGTTAATGATTTTACTACCTCAACCCATGTTGAGATAAATAAAAGAAATGACTGCTTTAAATACCTTTGTTATTGGTTAGTGTAGCTTTAGCTATAGTTTTCGGCATCTGACTCGAGTCTGCAAAGATAAAAAATATAGCTGAATAACTGTTGGAAAGCTATGGTCAGTCTGACATGCATTGTTGCCCTTTCTTTCCCTGTTTCCATCATGTCAGACTGACTGTATGAAAAGCAATTAAGTTTTAAAATTTTGTTATTTTGTAATGCAGACATATATTCTTTCTTATGTAAAAATATTTCATTGTTCCTGTAAACCAAAATGGCTGCTGTCATTATGGTGATGCAGACTGTATATACTAAGCAAATTCCAGAATGTATTGTTATATAAAACATTTGGACTCTTAATACCTTCACAACTGACATTTTCAGAATTGCTCGAGTCCATCATTTCTAGTGTATCTGTATCAGATNGAAAGGTTACAATTGAAAACCCACTTAATGCATTTTGACAAAATACTGTACTACATTGAGAATGGTTTTGACATTTCTCAGCAAATTGTTTCAACAGTTTTATTACAGCAATCCATTCCTGTCGACATGAGAGCAGCAAATAAAAATATTCTGCAAGTAATCACAACKTTAACAAATATAGCAGTGAACCTACTTTGTGTTATATAGTGACCTATCACTTTTAGTTAGCTTGTCCCTTTCAATGTTAGACAAAAGCCGATCTAACAAAGAAAAATCAGGAGCATCAAGTGACTCAGTTGTTGTTCTTGCTACAGGACAGACACCTGGAAACACACAAGAAAATATATATTGATTGTACAATTGTTTCATTGAGTCATTTGAGTATTCTTGCTTCCCACTATCAAATAACTAGATRTTAAATGATTATTCACATTTGTTTTATTTTTTAAATTTTATTTTTATTGATTATGATTTGGAAAATTTCATGTGGTAGCTCTCGAACCATGTGGGTGRTGGACACAAATYTATGWYATGCTATGACTTTSATTTCCTTMATTAATTTAAAATAAACATTTCAAGTCACCGTACCTTTTAGCTTTAAAACCTCTGCCTCAAATCTTGCTTTCCTTCCTATGGTATTCAATCCCAGGAGAGACATGGATTCTTCTGATGTAACTTTGCTTGAAAGAAGTGTCAGGCCGTCAACTTCTTGTTCAATAAATTTGTCGATAATACTAGAGTCGCYTTTAAAGATTCTGGACACCCAGTCCTTAACGTTTCCGCATGTCCACTCTATATTGTATCATAATAAAAACGAAATAAGACCCCGTTCACACAGGTACGTTCCGTTGTTTGATGTCAGATTGGCCGCAYGTTCACACGGGATTTGCGGGAACTGCACAGTATCCCACTTTCGGGACAGCAAAAAAAGTAGTTCCACTTTGAGGTCAGGACATTTCGAAGCGCGAGCGGTCCCGTATGAACGCTACTACTGCATAATGTCTACATTTGTGAACGGTTCTGTGGGAACGACATCGAGGTGGAACCAATCGTGAACGGACCCGTGTGAAACGTAGTAAAAATGACAAAAAAAGGTTCTAATTAGGTACAAATGACGCTTAATTTAAGTCCGATTATAACAAAAGAATCAAGTTGGATTATTTAAAATACTGAGATAGTTAAAACAACAACGATGGAAATGGATTCGATTTTGCTAACGAAACTAAAAGAACGCCTGCCATTTTGACACTTGCTGGATTCGAATTGCAGCAGCTTTTTCGCATAATTTCGACTTATTTAGCTAATATTTTTCATTTRATGTTCATTTATTGTGATAATTTCCAACATACCTGAGACGTCGACATCGCAAGGCTCAAGCGGTTTATCATTGTCGTCGTCTCCTTGTTCAACGGTGGCCTTCGGCGTTGACATCCTTAGCAGAGAAGGGAAAGGAGTGCCATCGCTTTGTGACGGATTGATCGTATTTTCTTCGTCCGAAATGTTTTCGTCTAAATTTTCTTCCAAATCATT